GAAGACCTAGTGTCGAAAACGTTCAGTGTTTTTTACTTTTTAACCATTTTTAGTCTTGTAAATAAAAACTATTTGAATCATTTTTAATGAAAATATAGAAGAAAAAGATTCTTTTCGTATAATTTCTATTTCCTTTCCTTTTTCCGACTTGTTGAGCAATTTCTCTTAAATTTTCTTTTCGTTTTGAGTTCTTTTTTTCCTTTTTACTGTTTCGTCATTTTTTTTTTTTTTTAAACCGACATCAAAAGAAGAATTTTCTTAATAATGATAAATGATAAATATGGGAAATTGCTATGAATAGTTAGCGGTTCTTTCAGGGTCCGACGATATAAACAAAAAACTTTTAAGTGGTGTAGAGTTGCGTAATGAAATAAAAACAAAAATATAAATAGGACGGAAAAACGTATGTTTCTGAGATATTTTCACTAAATGAAGCGTTAAGACGCCAAAAGGCACATGGTATTGATGAGCCACCATAGAATTTGTAACTAAGGAAGTAGAAGAGAACGACTATGTTAGTTACAATAAAAGACAAAGCGAAATTAAGCCTGGTTTTCACGTGCGACGCATACAAGAATCCATACAAACGCTTACCACTGCAGCACAAGAATAAAAGCATTTTGATCCTTTTCTTGTACTTAGCTTTACGTATTTGTATGGGATCTTCTTGTTCCTCTTTTGCTTATGCTGACGTTAATGGTTACTGTTGTGTCGCTAATGATATATAACCAGTAGATGTAACTCAGTAACGCAGTTAATTACCCTGAGATTGCTTGGTGAATGAACGGATCTGAAGATCTTCAGAGCCTTCTTTAGGCAGTCTTCTGCTTGAATGTACTGACCAAGGTAACGGTATGAAGACCCCAAAGCACTTAGGGTATACCCATACTCTTGCTCGTAGTTCCCAGTTTCATCGTATATCTCTAGAGCTCTCTTGATGTGATTACTACAGAGAAATCGATGCCATGTCAGCATTTTTCCATAAATTCTACATAATTAAATTAATTGCTAGTTCCAGTGAAAACATTTTGTTTTGTTTTCTCGATAACTTCGATATTTCCAAAGATAAGGTCGAAGGAAACACCGAGAATAGAGGGAAAACAGAACTTACTCTTTCCCAAGGTGGAAGTTAGAGTATAGAAATAGTGTAATGGAGGAGGGGAAGACAGTTCACGAGTCATGAATAAAACAAAAGTAGTTATATGACAGTTAGCTAAGACGTGCTCTAATTAACAATTTGAGGGCTACGGGTCAATAGTCCTAGTATCACCCAACTAGTCGAACAGAAAAGCAATAATAAAGTTAGCAAATGCAAGTTGAAGAAATATTTATTTGGGAATAAAACGAAAGAAA